GCAGATTACAAATAGGTCCCTGATTAGGCGTATAATTGTAGCGGCTTCATCGATCGGGCGTGTATGGTTTTATCGAGAAGCGCACCGTGACAAAAGATATCCCTGGATTCACCCATGCTGCACGCTCGGGTGTCGGTACATCTTTCTAAAAATCGCCTTCGCCACATCCATCGCACGCTGTCGCTCGCAATGTTTTAATTCACCGTAATAGGATACGGTGGCCGTCGTGGAATCCCTGCGGTCAGCACTGGGCGTTCTGGGAGGAACCGCTACCCAACCTGCTTTAATAAATGATATATATGCCAAAATAACCGCGTGGATCAGATTTTGTACACCCAAAAGGTTCTTCATCAAGTGGTCAAGAAATACGTCTACTCATGGGAGCTTTTAATGACCAACATGATAGTATAAAGTAGAAAAGCGGTAAATATACGTTAAATTACAAAAATCAGGACGTGGTGCTAGTAGGTAGGTAGATATAGGGCCAGTTTCTAGAACGAAATAGTTTTTTTTTTCAGAGCTCGGTACCGTTGATAGTGGCATGGACTGCGTATTTCAAAGATACGATCAGTAACAAGTTGAAAACTTCATTAGCCAATTGTCCATTCCGTTGTGACATAGTGGAACGAAGGTACTAGGCACCGGACCAATTGCCCCTCTCCATTTTTGTATCATGTTTGTTAAGAGAAATGATTACTTTCCTTTGAAGTCCTGTGTCTTCCAATATGGAAGCAGGGTTCCCAAATTTCACTGTTAACTCCACAGTAGTTTACCCTGTACCAGAGCGTGCCTGTGACGTACCCTAGGTAACCGGTGTTCCCAAGCCCAGCTCCCTTCACGCCTCTCGGAAAGCTGCCCGAATGTCACCTCAATTTTTTAACCCTCTTTAGGACATCATTTTCTGAGGCAGTATGATTAATGAATATCTGCAATTATTGTAGTGCTTATGACCATCGGATCCCATCTGCGTACATACTTCATGGTCGCGACGTAAACGTCAGCGATCTGCCTGCACGACGCTATCCTCATCAGCTGATGGTGTTCATGTTGTTCGAACCCCCACCGTACGCTGGAAGGGCCTGGAGAAAGGTGTGAAACTAGATTACTTCACCAAGAATAACAATTGTATGGATCTCTAGAACTAGCCAATCTCCTTCTTCAGCTTCCTCCCAACTATTTCAATGCAACGATGACTTATAGAAAGTCTTCCGACTATCCTTTACAGTATGGTAAGTTTGTAAGACGATCGCCAATCGATAAACGGCAAATGGTTTTCAGTGAACAACAGGTAATACTTATGGATTCGGTAAAACATTCAGCGATCAAATAAAGAAGCGAACGTCGCTATGAGGGCTGGATTTTCGTCTTGTAGGCTCGCTTTAGGTTTTTTTTTCTCTGTGAGATCCAGGCAACAGCTGGTGTATGCCATTTTGAAGGCCTTTCAGGATCAGAACAGTTGTAGAATTATTTCATAATAGAAATACAGCCACTGCCGGACCCTGCGGGACGGGACTTGCGTACGTCCGAGGATGCGCGCGGCTACTTGCACTGTGAAGTTCGTGACGATTTGTACGACTCTGACGCCGAACTCCGGGGCACAAATTGAAGTAGAGAAGTTTAGTAGAGTCAGATGATCTTTCTAATCTACTCTACTTCAAATTTGGGCCCCAATGATAGGCGCCAAAGCCGTTCAAATCGCCGCGAACTTCGCCGCGCNGCCGCGCGCAATCTCGGACCCACGTAGTATGTACACATACCGCCGGCCCTTAGGTCAAGTTTTTTATTCGCAAAGATTTACCCGAGTTCGAACAAATCTGAGTAGTCATGCCCACAGTCATACTTATGGGGGAAGATGTTCCTTTTGTACAAGACGCTTCCAAGACGAGTTCCAGATATAGTGGATCACTCAGCAATCAATGGCATGTGTTTCAGATCCAGAAAGCCATGAAGCGAAAAACGAAAGGCGCTCTGCTGTTGATGTCACGATGCCTTACTTATTCGAACAGAGAATCAATTATACGGTACCTTTTAAACGTCAGCTGTAAACACAAACATGTAAACATGGCAAGTTTTCTGCTGTGGCTCCTGGAATTCTTGGTGCACTACGAAGTAAACTTAAGGTGTTTTTTGTTTTTTTTTTCTCAGGGATGTGTACTTCCTCCAGGGATCGAGCCATGTTACACGTGATACAGATGAAAAATGAGAAAAAAGCTAATTTCCACTAGAGAAATGAGAATTTATTGCAGGAAATTGTCAGCGAAAATCAATATCACCATTGTTGGGCGTTGCAGTTCAGCGTTCCCAGGAGCCACGAATGTATATTGCCCAAACTCAATGCGCGGGGACAAATGCGAAGAGGAACTTGTCGGTCAGTTTTTCAAATACTTTTGATATGGGAATTGGTTTCTGTAGACGGTTAAAATGGCTCCGCGACGACCAACGCTAAGTCTGGCCTAGGGCTCGAGTCCGTCATTAACTTGGGGAAACCTTTTACTCTTCTAGAAGGGATGGATTAGTTTGACAGTGTAAATAGAAAGGAATGGGATAGAATAAAAAGAATGCAATAGATGTTGAGCTAGAGCGGCCGGATGTAATGAGTGACAAGACTCGCTTTATCACACGCCCATGGTCTCAAGTTCGAATCCCGGACTGATCCAAGCCTGCCATGTCTCTGGGGTCGATTGAATGTTACCAAAATGTCTGGGAGGATAAACACCGACTTGTACATTAGCTGGCCACCGCAAGCCAGTGTAGAAGACACATATGCATTGGAAACGCCACTACGATTCTGAATGGAAGTCGACTGCCGAAGCATATCCCACAGGCGAGCATGATAGACGTCAAAAAAACTTTTCCCAAACTGTACCTGATTGGCAGAATGGGGAGAGGGAGTGCAAGGGGAGAGGCGTGATAATCACCTACCACTTTATTTTTATTAAATTTGCTTGCTACTTCTCTTTCAGCAACCCACCGGTTCTATCTGGGGTTCGAGAATTCCTTCTGTCGCGACTACATAACAGAAAAGTTTTTTCTACGAATCTCTCAATTGATGGTACCAATTGTGGTGAACAGAGCATTCTACGAAGGTGATTGTTTGTTCAGTCTTTTCCTTTTGATTTTCAGTCCATTCCAGTTTTTTGTTATGCAATTTGAAGGTTAGTTGGCTCTTGGCTAATCACCGATTGATGAGACGCGGAGAGCCATCTTTTGTGAGAAAAATCATGTAATTGGAAACCAGTAGTAATGCTACACTTGGCCTTCCGATAAAAAAAGAACGATAAATTTTTCCATTCAAATCAAAAATCTCACTCACTCACTTCCCCTTCGGAAATGTAAATTTTAGGAAACGGTATACCTCCGAGCTCTTTCATAGCCTTGGACGATTTCGAAAACGACGATGAACTGGAAAATCATTTATATGCTGTGCAACACCACAACAAGCTATTTTTGAAGTTGGTTTGACAGAATTACTTTTTGTTTGAGGATTTGGAGGTGCCCTTCAATCGACTCACACCATCCTCTAGAAGACAACATTCCTTATCGAATCCGAGGAAACCCATTAGTTATGGGTCATTAGATTCGGTTTTTGACTAGTTGATACGAACCAGTCGTTGGAGTAGATTTCCCATTCTCCGAAATGAGCCACAGCAATATGCCAAGTATTGATCGGAAGGAGATGAGCGGAGGGAGGTTGGGAGGAGGAGGATAAAACCGAAAGGATCGTGGGTAGATCAAATCAAAGCGCGAATCAATATGATCCATATCCATAAATTTGTGTGGCGAGAAATCGAGTGCCCTCTGATACCTCGCCTCCTAGCTGGCTGCAACCTCCATCCGGTCTGTTCTCCTAACCCTGCCTCTCTCCTCGAAGCCTTTGAGTTGGGCCAGAATTTTGAGCTCCAAGGACCAGGTGCTGCTTCGTTTCAGAATAATTGTAAATGTAGGCTATTGTGAATACTGATGGAGTGGCTTTTTATATTTTGGTGGGAACTTCCCAAAATAACGTCTTTCCTGTCCTTGCCTGGGGGAACATTATAACAAAGCCTACAAGTCGACACGTTGACGGCTTAGGAGAATGGGAGTTAGTCGCTCGACATCATCCATCCCTCTGTTTATAAGATGCCTATTGATCCGCAGTGGGTGGGGTATCCGGGTGCGATCACCCGGACGGACGATGCTCGCGAAACTGTGCAATCTCCAGGACGGAGATCAATATAGAAACTGTCGATATGGTGAAGTTTAGATACACAGTAATTTCCTTTGTAGGTATTTCGAGTGGACAAAGTACTATCGAAAGCCGTCAAGTTACGTCAGCGATGCTGCCTGTCGGCTTTGTGCTGATCTGTATGCGAACAAAAGACTACAACTGAAGGATATACAGAAATTTAATAGCTACAAGCATCAATGCAGTAGAGGAGATTCTCGGAATTTATTATAATAGTTACAGATTGCTGTTTATTTACCGTAATAAAAACATGTTGTTAGAGAGAGACAAATGAAAATTATGAACCAATGTATTGTTTGGAAGAGCCTTGGGACTCGGTGCACCGGGAGAGTTTATTGTTGAAACTCTCCCGATACCATCATTCCTCAGCCAGTGGCTCACTGTCATACTGGGTGGGCTGGTGTGCCGCTATGGGGAGCGCTACCATATATCTGGTCGGAGGATCAATTCCGCTACAGGTTAATGGCTAAATCAATTGTTTCTACCCATCCCTTACACTCGTTTGATTGGTACCAGATTCTTCTAGGAGCTTGATTTCGCATTCCTCAAGTAGGTTAGAACCACCTTCCTCCTTTCTCTTTAGTTGACAGTAGTCTCAAAAGGAGAGCGAGACGACATCACCTCCGCCCATGTAGTGGGAAATGTTTTCAAATATTCCATCGAGTTTTTCATAGAACTGTGAACCGATGCGATTTTGAAGTTGACTTTCCCCCATAATAGGTAGTCTACATACCTCTCATATCAGAGGTGATTGTGATAGGAAGACTGGCTTAGGCAGGTCGTCACCTTGCCCACTGTGACGGTAAGCGGGTTTCTGAGGAATTACAATACTTAGAACGGAAAGTTTGAAAAGGTCGGTACTCCATGCGATTGACTTGGTCCGATTCACGCCTTTTGTCGAATCCTTCGGGATCTATTTAATGATTTTTACATCGATTCTATATCACTGCGAGCTTCACCTTCAAGGATATAATTGTCAGCAATATAATGATTGAAGCTGACCTATACTACTGTAAACAAGTAAATCGTTTAAAGAAAAGTTCATAATATCTTCAACACCTAAACAGAACTATAAACGCGTGGAAGTGCGAACGGCCGATAAGATGATTTGCGGGAGCCAGACGATAAGCCCCATTTTTATCGCACAAAACAACATGGTAATTAGAGACTGAAGATTTGGTTCGCCAGGACAAAACTTGGTCTGGAAATTATATTGTTAAAATGATGAACTAGTTCTTTGTGAAAAAGTCGATGTCAGTAACATAGCTGGTTTAACCTGGAGTATAAACAAAGCCGTTGACAAACACGTAGTGGGTTCCAAAAGAATGGTTTTAGGACTGGCCTCTCATTGTGAGATGTCGAGCACGAAGAAATGAGGCTATTTATCCCTTCGGCCTGGATCGCACGTCTTGGAGCATGAGAGACTTTAATAAGAATTTATCGACGAAAATAGTGGCTAAGTGGAATTGGGCGTGACTGTACAAAGACGTTAGGGCATAGATGTCAGGGCGTTCGTGGAATAGGCCCTGTCCAGCTGGCGATGAGTGAATGAGAGAGCAGCTTCCGCGTTCGCGATGGTCCGGACTTTTCGTGAGAAGGCTCCAGAATCACCCATGAGGGAGGCAATGGAGTTCTGTGCTCAAAATATGCGGGTAGGTAGAGCTCCAAAGAAGCGGTAACCAGACCTGATAAAGAAGGACCTCGTCGAAGCTGAAATAACGGCACAAGATGCTATAGGAAGGTGTTGGGGACGGCCGACAAGAATAGCGGACCCTGCTACGGCGTAGGACTAAAGCTAAAGAGAAGAAGGATGATCAAATGAAATGTGATCATAAGTCTCAATGGAAGTGTAATGGATGACGAAAAACAAGACGGGGTCGAGTTCCTTTAGACACTTGTGAAGTGATCTTCAGTTTGATGAAAATGTCTTATTTCCTATTCACTAGGGGCCCGAGGCCTTCAACCAATGGTAATACGAGTTTTTCGAACTGCATTCCATTCACAAACATGACAATGAGCCGCACCCGGCGTTGAATTTCATATTGTTCACTTATAAATTCTCCAGACAATCTTCCTTCTCAGCAAAATCAACTACCGTTTGCTTTCACTCCTTTACATATTTGACGACTTGATGCATTCGTTGAGTGATTGCGATTCCTCTTACTCGAGTAAAAACTTTTGTAATGTCTTGTCGAGATAGAACTTCGAATTTGAATGTACTAGCCCACCAAGAACGTTTCTTACTTGACGTCATGATCAAAAAGGTCGAAACATAGAAATTTCCAAGCATCTCCTGAGTTTGTAAGAATCCCCCCCCCCTTCCCTCCCTTCCCCCGANCGCCAAAGCCGTTCAAATCGCCGCGAACTTCGCCGCGCAATTTGCCGCGCGCAATCTCGGACCCACGTAGTATGTACACAT